CTTGCTTACAGAAAAGGGCGATAAAGAAAGAAGTAGATGCACTCAGAACTGTAATCCAATACATTACAGATCACATGCTTGAATCTGAGTTCTCGCCCAAATACCTTAAAAAACGCATTAAACAGCTGGAAAGGGAGAGTGAAGACCTGAGAATTGTTGCGCCACACCCTGCATCTGGAAAGGGAAAGGCTCAACCTCGAGAGCGAGCTGCGAAAAAAATTATTGTACCAACCCCTGCCCCTTCATCTGAGGCTCAACTGCAAAAGGAATATGGGAATAAATGCATTGCTCCTGCCCCTGCATCTGCATGTGAGGATCAACCACAAAAGCAAGCTGGGAAAGAATGTTCTGCACCAACCCCAACTCCTCCATCTGAGGCTCAACTGCAAAACCAAGCTGGGAAAAAATGTATTACCCCTGCATATACGGCTCAAGTGCCAAAGAAAGATGGGAGAAAACGTATTGCACCAACCCCTGCCCCTGCTTCAGCGTCTCAACCTCAAGCGAAAAAACGTCCTCAGACAGCCATATCAAAAGAAGCAGCCTCAAAGGCTACTGCTTATCCTGTCCACTTGGCACAGCCTCCTTCCCAGCGCCCGGCATACTTTTCTTCAGAAAAAGGTGATCCTTATCTAAGGCCACCTGCTGAATACTGTAGACCAAGGGGATCCTTTCCAGATCCCTCACATATGAGCCATTTAAATTGGGAGTACGGGTCTGATGCCCTTGCTAACAGGAGCGCCTTGCCATTTGATTCAGTGGGTTACTGCTTTGGCTCTGCTGATAATTTTTATGATCCACCATATGTGGAACCAGGTATGCATCACTTCTATCATCCATCGTGGCATTATTCCCAACCATTATGAACCCGGTCACCTTGTAGACACGCCACTGACAATAGGCAAGCGTGACGGTGTCTGTGGTATGCAACATGAGTCCATCCATCTTCTTGACATTGAAGTGATTCCTAGGCTAACTTTTAGATGGTCAAATCTTCGAAGTTGTCCATGTCTGTGATTTGGTCATTCCTCCTTTTTGGAGACTTTAAGACATTCCATTGGTGACCAATCATGTTGCACAGCATTTTTATTTTTATTTTTATTTTTTATTATTATTATTTTTTTCCAGTTTTGGGGATTGTACATATTGCCTTGTACCCTTTCAAAAATCAATCCAGAAAGAGGTTTCTTTTATGAAGCTTTTTCCAAAGAGGTGAGAAAGATGCCTTTTTATATCACTGTAGTGTTCTTGCAGCTTAGACGTTGGATTTATAAAAGAGAGATTTGTTTATATGGCTTGTGCTTATTACATGGTCTTGGCCAATCACCATGTGACGCATCAACGAAAAGCTGAATAAAGCTTTGCACATATCTGACACATTTGTTGATATGTTATATGGTGATTGGCTTGGGACCAATGGTCCCAAACTATGTAATAATTTTTCACAACTCTCTGGAAGTTCTTGTTAAATATCATGTTTTGGATATAGATGTCCATGGTCATGGTTTATTTTAGGGCTTGTGGAGGCATTTTGGATGCGTGTGTGTGTGAGAGGGAGAGAGACATGAGCCAGCAACTCCAGTCTCCAGTATAAGAGTTGAATGGTATGCTTGTTTGTTAATCAGCAATCTCAACTGACTTGACTTATCGGGGAATGAGGGTAATTTTATTATTATTTTTTTCAAAGTTGTCAATGAGAGTGTGATTGACCCAGGTTAACATGACCAATTATACTCGGATTGTTTCGGTAGTAAGTCACAAATTTTCAGTTTTTCTCTCCAATTTTTTTATTTAATTCATATTTTATTTCTATGTACTAAAAGATAGAAAATAGGATTTGAAACCTGAAATCTGCACATTCATAATTTTAGTTAATTGTGGACATATTTAAAATAAAAATGAAATAAACCTCAATTAACAGTTTGGGCCATCTGAAAAGTGCAGCGTAAGCCCTACAGCAGCAATGATGCCAACTATCTTCAATTCTACAAATTGGGATTGGGTTGGCATTCTGGCCGATTTTGTAGTCCATGGGCTTGGGACATTTGAAAACTTGAAATGCATCCTAGAGTATTATCATTATTATTACACCAAATCGTACATTTGAGGTGCTCCAATTCTTCACATATTTCACAAAAAATCGGTTGAACCGATTAACCGAATTGAACCAAACCCGACCGGTAGGTTTGGTTCAATTTTTTCACGATTCGACTTGGTTTCAATTTCAAAAATATAGAATTGTTTATAAACAGTTTAGTTATGATTTGAGGTTCTACAAAATTGAACCAAACCGTTTTATAAATTGTATATATAATTATATATTTTGTATTATATAAATAATAGAATAATAAGATTAGTTTTTTAACTACTCAATTTTATATCATAATATATTATAATAAATTACATTATATATATATATATATATATATATATATATATATTAGATTGAATTGTAAAAATTAAAAAAAAAAAAAAAAAAAAAAAAAACCCTTGAATTGTGGAACCAAACCGTGTTATTTTTAAACACAGTTTGGTTTGGTTATATTGGTTTCACAGTTTGGTTCGGTTCTAACTTTTATTGAAAAATTAGGAACGGTTTGGTTCCAAAATATTTTCAAATCAGTTCAATCCAAAATATTTTCAAATCAGTTCAATCCGACATGTGTGCATCCCTAGCGTAACGGGTGGACGCTAGCCATTTACCCAACATACCCATCCATTTTTACCCATTTCACTTCTCATCCAGATCCGATGTGGGACAAGTATTCCTTATAATATTTTTTTTCTATCTGAACTCGCAACGCCCTCGTTGCGGTTGGGCCACCCTGTCTACCTGGATGGGTTCACCTGAATGCTTCTGGGCCGGGGCGCTTGCTCATTTACCCAACATACCCACCCATTTTTACCCATTTCACTTCTCATCCAAATTCGATGTGAAATAAATATCCCTTATAACATTCTTCTCCACCCAAACTCACAACATCCTCATTGTGGTTGGACTACCCTGCCCTTGGAAGCTTTCGAGCTTGGTGCTTGGTATGACATCGAATTAAAAACTGCGTATGATTCTGATACTAACTGTAATGGATGGACGTTTGTCCATTTATTCAAAAGTTTAAGCTATTAGGTAGTATTATGTACCCATCCATTTATACTCACTTCATTTTTCATTCAGATTTAATGTGGGACAAATACCCCTTGTAACACCTAGTTACTTTTGTAATATGAGAGATTATACCATTGGGTTAATGACCCATTAATAGTGTAAAACCAATAAATAAGAATTTGAAGGGAATGGATTCTCATTTTCCTTGGTCCATTAAGAACTGCAATTTATTGGTCTAGGATTCTCATTTTCCTTGGTCCATTAATAACTGCAATTTATTGGTCTAAAGGTATCCTAATTTATTTTATACCGGCAATAAAAATCAGTTATGTATCCAAATTTTCATTTTTTTTCTTCTTAAATTGCTTATCTGTATAAAACTTGTTATCCCCTAACAAATATAACTCTCAAAATGCTGTTGAAAAAAGATGATTATGGTAGATGATTATGGTAGACAACATGATGTGTCGATATAATTGTTTAATTAATATTTGTTGAGTTAAGCTCAAATTCTCAGAAAAAAAAAAAAAAATTAAACCAAGTACAATATAATTTGACCAATAGCTCTTTGCAGCTTATGGAAACCTCTTATTTCAAATGCAAATAAAAAAATCATCCATTAATAATTGATCTCAAACTAGGATTAATAAAAAAGAAAATAAGGAGCTCAAACCACTCTTGATGTTCAAGTAACATTGCTTATTCAACCCGAATTAATCAGTTTCTTAAATGTGATGAAAATAAATATTGTTCTATGTTTGTTTTTTTATTTAGTAAAAGGCATCATCCAGTAAAATGTCTTAATGACTCATGATTTTTTATTTTTATTTTTTTTCCGAATATAAAAAGTTAGACAAATATTTCTTCATAATTCATGATTGATAAAGGCTTTTTTGCTAAGTAGCTCAAATAAAAATATCATTGTTTTGGTTAATTAAAATTTTAAATATATTTAAAGATCATTACTCTCTGTGATTTATACTAATGGTCAAATAATAAGGTATGCAATGAATGATTGATTATTGGAGTCTATTTGGAGTTGATGTTGGAATAAAAATAGTTTTTTTATTAATAAAATTGTCAAAAAATTGATGTCAGTAATAAGCATGTTACATATTTGGTGACACAATATAATAAATACTTTTCATAATTAAATTATTTTTTAATTTATTTGGTAACAATTTTTTTTTTAAACCCTTCTATTGTTAATTTACAATAATATTGTTTAATATGATGTTATTATTTTTTATAATAATAACTTTATTAAGAAAGGAGTGTAATTATCTTTATTAAAATTAAAAAGGGCAAAATTATATAATTAAAAAAAGTTATCTAAAATATTCAATCTCTATTTAAAATATCAAAATTCTAACTTAATTCAAAACGCTCTATTAAACTAAATTTGGTAATCATTAAAAACACTTTATAATGGTTACTAAGTACATCTAAATGTAATTGTTCAAAATAAAAATAAATTTGATAACTATTAAAAGCATTTATAGTTACCAAGTCTATCTAAATACAATTTTTTTAAAATACAGTTGAGAGCTAAGTTATATAAAGCATAAGCAGGTGCGGAAGAGTGAGCACAGAATCGCTTTGTTTGGTAAAAAAAATATATTTATCTTTGTTTGGTAAAAAAAATATATTTATCTTTGTTTGGTAAAAAATATATTTATTATATAGATTTATTATCCCAAAAAAACGTAAAATATTGTATTTAATGTGAATTATTAATTTCGAATTAAATACGAGGATGTAGCGGGGTGGGGTCCATCACATTGTCCACACTCTCCTCGTTACACCGACTCAGTCGGTTGTTTTATACTGACTGCTTCCTTTTTCCCGCTCTCCTTCTAACTTCCCCCCTCTCTATATATACATATATATTATATAAGGCGGCTTCTCTAGGGTTGGAGTTTGCAAACCTACTTGGCAGAACAATTAGGGTTCACATTCTTCGCTGTATTTTTATATCTATTAATTTAGGGTTTTATACACGTTTCATGATCTAGGGCTTTATACACGTTTCATGATCTAGGGTTATATATATATACACTCATTGGAGCAGGATGGCTTCAATGGAGAAGATCTCGGCTGATCTGAAGCTCGTGGATTCGAAGAAAGAAAACCTCCGTGAAGCCTTCGAGCATTCACTCTTTCTGCTCACAATGCAGTGGAAGGATTTAGAGGAATACTTCGATTTAACTCGAAAATCGATAGAACAACGGTTCGATGAACTCGAGTCGAAAGAGAAGAATTTCAATTCAGTTCAACTGTCGTTGAAAGAGCGTTCTGAAGAGCATAATTCAATCCAAAAATCAATCGAAGAAAGGCTCAAAGAACTTGGGTTGAAAGAGGAAAAGTTGAATTTTACCAGATTGTCGGTTGAAGAACGGTCTAAGGAACTGGATTCTGTACAGGAATTGATCAATGAAAGCTTGAACGAGCTTGGAATCAAAGAGAAGGAATTGGGTTCGGTACAGAAATTGATTGATCAACGTGTTGAAGAGTTCGAATTAAAAGAGAAGCAATTCGAGAAACGCCATAAAGATCTTGAATTGAAAGAGAAGCAATTTGATTTAATCCAGAAGTCAATTGAGAATCGTTTCAAAGAGCTCGAAAGGAAGGAGAAACTATACCAAGAGCGTGCCAAACAGCTGGGCCTGAAAGAGAAACAATGCGAAGAGCTCTCAAAATCTCTGGAATTGAAAGAGAAACAATGCGTTCTTAGTGCTAAAGTAAAAGTTGAAGAACCAGAATATACGCCTGTCGACAATGCAATATATTATTCTTCTTCTGCAAATATTCGATTTTGCATTACCATGGATGGCAAGACTTTGCAAATTTTCCTGAATGAGCACTTGAATGAGCATGATTCCATGCGAGACGAAGTTTATGCTGCTCTTAGAATGTCATCAGACCCTGCAAAGCTTGTGTTGGATGCAATGCAAGGGTTTTATCCTCCATTTTTAAAGAAGGGAGATAAGGAGTTTGAGGGAAGCGTTGTTAGGAGGAGTTGCACCCTTTTGTTGGCGCAGTTGATGAGAGCTTTGCCATTTATCACACCCCCTGTGAGAGAGGAAGCTACCAAACTTGCAGTTGACTGGAAAGCAAAAATGAAAGTAGACAGTGAGAACTCTTTGGTGGTAGTGGGTTTTTTGCAGCTTGTAGCAACTTATGGTCTGATTTCTAGTTTCGATAGGGATGAGATTTTAAAGCTTTTTGAAGCTATTGCTCAGCATAGAGAGGCCCCTGCATTATGTCAGGCTCTTGGTTTTGCTGACAAGGTCCCTGGTAAGCTTTCTAAAAAATAGGTTCCATATATCTTCTTTTCTCTATAGATCTCTCTGTCTGATATATTAATATTCTATATTTGATTCACGGAGTGTCTTCTTTTTCCATTTCTTGAAAATCAGATTGTGAGTTCTCTAGGTTGTGGTAAGCTCCTCATTTAGTAGGCTAGAATTAGTATTTTATATTGTTTGTGGGTATATGTGTTTTATGTGCTATCTGAGCGAGTAGCAATGTCTAGGTGTGAAACATGTACAAAAAAACAATTAGAAATATGCATATCATTAGAAATATTCACATGTGACAAACTGGAACTGAAACATGCGTATCATTGAGTCTTGATTATGTACTAGTGGTTTAAAAAATGTGCGACTGGGTAAACCGATTTCTCCATGTAACCTAATACCGCAATTGGAAATCCTGCTTGTAGCTAAACTGATGAAAACAGGTTAACACAATAAAATAATTTTATTACTTCTAACCAGAACTTCATAGTCATGAATGGTGAGTGCTGCACAAGTTTGCTTTTGGAATGTCATTATAGTTTTTGGTGTGCAAATCTATTGTCGATTTTATTTACTTTATTTTTTGTTTGGAAATTGTGGCAGCTTGATGAAATCTACCTTTTTTTACATGTGACAGATCTCATCCAAAATTTTATAAAAAAGAAGCAGCACCTTGTGGCTCTTAGACATATTTGTGCATTTGAGCTTGTTGACAAGTTCCCACCAGTACCCCTCTTGAGAGAATACTTGAAGTACTGTGGAAAGATGGCTTACAAATCGCATAATGTGCAGGTATGTTACCCTGTATGTTGCTAATGTTGATATTACTTCCAAATTCAAGATCCAACTAACATCATGTGTGTATCTAATTGAAATATTGCTTGCAGAATAGGGCCATAGAAGAAAGGGTGGCTGCTGTAATAAGAGGCATTGTTGGTCACGACCTTGAAATCAAATACTCAATTAGCAACCTCGAGGAATGCATTGAACACCTTATAATGCTGAAGGACGGAAACTTATGTATTGTGCCAGCAAGTGAAAATAAACTTACATCGTCCATAACTGACCCCATCTCTACTAAAGCCCTCAATGACGCCCCTATTCTCCCGAAGATTACTGCCCCCACTCTCGCCCCTGTCACCACTATGGCCTTAATCCTTGCCAAAATGGATGGAAAGAGATTGCAAATTTTCTTGAACGAGCATTTGGCAGAGCATGAATTATTGCGCAACGATGTTTCTACTGCTCTTCAAATGTCCGTCAACTCGGCAAAACTTGTTTTGGATGCAATGCGAGGATTTTATCCTCCACATTTGAAGAAGGGAAATATGGATTTTGAGGCATGTATTTGTAGGAGGAGTTGCATGCTTTTGTTAGAGCAATTGATGAGACTCTCACCTCAGATTACTCCTAAAGTGAAAGAAGCAGCAATGAAACTCGCAATTGAATGGAAAGAGAAGATGAGATCAGAAACTGAGATATTGGGTTTTCTTCAAATTGTAGGTGCCTACAGAGGGGCCTCTGCTTTTGATGTAGATGAACTATCAATTCTTTTTGGGACTGTTGTGCACCTAAGACATGCCCCTGAATTATGTCAAGTCCTTGGTTTCTCAGAAAACATCCCTGGTAAGTTTTATAAATTGGAGTTCCTGTGACAACCTGTTTATTTACCTCTTAATCACCATAGAGCTCTCTCTCTCTCTCTCTCTCACACACACACGTGCACACATGCGTCGTGAATCCGATTGTTGGTATAATTTGTTACATTATATCATGAAATCTCCACCATTTTTATGTGTTGGAAATTTTCTTTATGTTCTTATTATTTTGAGTTATTGCGCCTACTCATTTCTTAATGGCCTAGTTTGAATTCGTAGCAATTCACAATTTTCTTTGTCTAGACAAGTTTGCAATTGTAAAGCTATTGAATACGTACATTTTATTAGTAGTAATGATAATATTATTTTTGGCGAGGGGAGTGGATCCCGCACTAGGGTCAGGCTTGTAAATAGATTGGATTTGGACCAGGTCATTTTGATCCGATCAGAATCCAATAAGAGTTTTATCCAATCCATGGATTATTTGATCCATTAAGGATGTAACTTTTTGTTAAAAAAATGTAATGTCAAAAGAGATTAGCAAACAATGATTAGGAAAAAAAAGATCTGGAGAAGAAAAATAAAATATAAACAAATAAAAGAGAAGAAAATTACGAATTTGAGTTTTTATTAAAGAAAAAAATAATAAAGGGAGGCAAAATAGAGTGAGGGAAGAAGAAAATAATGATAAAAAAACAACTTGTCTTGGATGCTGGCTTATACTGAATCAATCATACTTTTCTTTATGCCATTGAAAGGGATTATCGGCTAACGACACCTAGTGGTTGCCAAGGCCTGTTGACTGAATAAGAGTTTGTTATTTTGCAACTCATTCTTATTGTCACATAGATTTTCGTTTATACACTTGTTATTATCATTCTTTATAGGCCGATTAGATAATCCATTATTCTTTTTGCACCTTACCAATATCTTTATACACATACTCAAATGTTAATTAGCGTGTTTATTGGTATGTGATTTTATGCAATAATGCAGAATTGCAGTTTCTTTTGGCCATCGTGACCTCCTGTAGACATCCAATTTTCAATTTTGAAGATCTTTTTCTTTTTGTTTTCCTCAACTCTTTGGTGTTCTATATCCAAATGAAACTGGAAAATCTATATTGTTGGTTATCTTTGATTCATAAAAATCCTTGCTCATTTGAGAAAACTGCATGCAATTTTCTCCTTGTAAATGTCCTTAGCTAATGGAATATAGAATTTGATGCTCCTAATGTACTCGTTATTGTTATTTATGGCTTAGTGATTATTTGTTAAATTGTACCTTCTTAGTTGGCGATGTCCTTCATTCACAAGAAGAGGTTGACCAGTGTTCATCTGAAAATTCGCTGTTAAACAACAAAGTTAATTCTTCATCTGTGGGTCCTCAAGTTGATAAATCTTTATGCACCAATATGGAAAGAAAAGAAGTTTGCAGTTCTATTCGATGTTCACTGGATCCAGCAAAGCTAGTTTTGGATGCTTTGCAAGGTTGTTATTATTCAGGCTTGAAGAAAAATAGGTGCCCCGGGCGGATTGTCGGGAGGAGTAGTGTTATTTTCTTAGAGCAATTAATGAGAGTCTCACCCGAAATTAAGCCTCATGTCCAAGAAGAAGCAATGAATTTTGCAGTTGCTTGGAAAGCAGGCATTGTGAAGAGCGAGAAAGCTTTAAAGGCCTTAATTTTTTTGCAGTTAGTAGCCATCTATAATTTGGTCTCTTCATTTAGTTCAGACGAGCTTCTTGGTTTTCTTGGAGAAGTTGGCTGGCATGGGCAGGCCATTAATTTATTTCCAGCCCTTGAATTGGTGGATAAGATCCCTGGTTTGTTCTCTCTCTCTCTCTCTCTCTCTCTCTCTCAAGTTAATTCAAGCTCTGTGGTGTGATGACTTGACCTGATTTACATGTTTAGCAGTTTTATTTTTCATTAAAATCTTTAACCTTCAGCTTGGATTTTCATATATATATTTAAATTTTATGCATTTTTACTAGGAAGATTTTGTGCCTTTTAGCCTCCTAGAAAGGTAGGGATATCCAGACATGTTTGTAGATTGTAAAGCTTCTTTAATGCTTTTAGTTGTTTGTTATCACGTTAGGGTGATCTTTATCTTTGGACGTTGTATTTTAATGCCTTGGGAAGCTGTATTGCTGCACTTTTGATCTATAAAATATGGCTGGTAGTAGTCTTTAGGTATCATTGCTATCTTATTTTTATAAATACCCTTTGCTTATCTTGATTATATTTTGCTTCTTTTATGGGAAGATTTTGGGACTAGATATTTTTCTATGTGCTAGAGCTTGTCAGCTGAATCACGTTTTCCTGCTTTTGTACTTATCTTAAATGTTTTTTTAATTCTATAGCTTCCTCTCAAACCTCCAATTTGGCATTGACTCCTCTACTCCCATTTATTAGAACAATATTATCGTCAGATAACATATACCATAAATTCTCATCTTAAATGTGTCTTGTCAACTGATCCTTAACCAAGATAAAAAGGTATGGGCCCAATGTTGATCCTTGATGCAAGCCTATAGTAATTAGAAATTCACCTGTTTCTCCTAGAGTCGTTCTAACTATAGTCACGCGGCCATCATACATGTCCTTTATTGTGTCAATATTTTCCTTTGTGATTCTTTTCTTTTCTCAAACCATCCAGACCCAGTCAGTTCAGCAGAGCAAGTGGAGTCCAGATGACTCAACGCCTAGCTGAGGTGAGGCCCCACATGTGCCCCACACGCCGTCAGGTGTGTGTGGGCTTGCACGGCTTGCTGTATCCATGTCGTGTCTGTATCCTAGTTTTTTAAGATTAGACTTGTCGGCATATGTGTTGTGTTCTCTCTCTCTTAAGTTGGTATTAAGATGACTATAATTTCTTCTTCCTCAGCGAATTTTATTTTTTATTTTTTAAAAATGATTTAATATATTTCCTTCATGCATCCTGAGCAGTTTTGTTGTTCTGTCATCTGTGTACATTAGGATCTCAATGTTGCACTAATGATATAGTATTTTTGGAATGACAGACTAGCCGGAAAAATGTACAAAGAATCAAATAAATAAATGACTTGAAGCCTAATAATTTTATGTATATTACCTTATCTTAGTTTGTTGATTCTAATGCATTTCATTTCCTTTGATATTTTACTTTATTAAATTATTTGGAGGAGGGGAGGGTAAAGTGAACATAGAAGATGATATTAGAAGCAGGAAACTGAATTAGAACTATGCGTCAAAAGAGGAAAAGAATTAGAATAAAAGCACGATATTGAACAGTAAAAACTTATAAACTCAATAGGAACATTACGAGAAACAATGGTGGGAAAAGGGAAATGTGCAAAGAACCTGAACAGTGAATGGACTTCATTTAATTATTACAGTAATTATTGAAAGCTTTTTCTCAGACGTTCAATTTATTTGTCCTAAAAACATTTAATTTCAGTAGGAGAATCAAATCTTACACTGATAGTTTACGGAAATGGAAATGTAAAACTTTATGGGAACTGGAGGCTTCAGCAAAAAAATTGGGACAGAAGTGATGGAAGTTGGTTTATGCCTTATGGTTGATACTTCAAAGAGAGACATTATGAGAAACAAGCACAGATATTCTGACAAATAACTTTACACGTGTTCCTGTAATAATTATAAATAATCTCTTAGTCATTTGGTTATCCCCAGGATGTGCTTAAGAATATCGTACAGAAAATATAATAATAATATCTTACTTAAATATGTCAACAGTTCTCAGAAGTTCAGAATTTTTTTTCCTTCCATGGTCAAATTCTTTTCAATATGTATATGAAAGATTTTCTAGGAAACAGAAAGCGAGTTGCATATTTGTTGATTGATTTTAGAAATGGGCTTCTCTTGGAGACCATTTTCATCTCCTTCTGGGAAGAACATATTCTGTATCTATGCTCTTGCTTCTCTGTATCACTTCTTTGCATTGAAGTTTTGCCTCAAGAGCTGTTCTAATGCTATCACTGTCATTGAGTTTAGGCCGTAACTACATTAAGCAATTTGCAGTCTAAGCCTTCTCTGGGCAGTTTGACGGAATTTGCAATTTTTTTTTTTAATGCAGATTTTATCCAACAACTTATAAAAAAGGAGCAGCGGCTTGCAGCTATCAAGTATATTTGTGCATATGGCCTTGTTGACAAGTTCCCGCCAGTACCTCTCCTGAAAGCCCACTTGACCTATTCAGAGGAGATTGCCAATAAAACATGCAAGAAGGGGAACAATTCTCTTAAAGCACAGGTATGTTTGTATTGCTTTTAAGTATCTACTACCATGATCCAACTGCCATTCTGTGTTTATATGTTGTGAAACTCGCTTACAGGATAGGGCGATAAAGCAAGAAGTAGATGCTATCAGAGCTGTAATCAAATGCATTACAGATCACGGGCTTGAATCTGAGTTCTCACCCGAAAACATTAAAACACGCCTTGAACAGCTGGAAAGGAAGATTGCAGACCGGAGAATCGTTGTGACACACCCTGCATCTGAGGCTCAACCTCGAGAGCAAGCTGGGAAAAAAATTACTACACCAACCCCTGCCCCTTCATCTGAGGCTCAACTGCAGAAGGAAGCTGGGATTAAATGTAATTCCTCAACCCCTGCCCCTTCATCTGTTGCTCAACCGCAAAAGCACGCTGGGAAGAAATGTAAGGCTCTACTGCAAAAGAAAGCTGGAATTAAATGTACTGCCCCAACTCCTGTCCCTGCCCCTTCATCTGAGGTTCAACCGAAAAAGGAAGCTGGGATTAAATGGAATTCCTCAACCCCTGCCCCTTCATCTGCAGCTCAACAGCAAAAGCAAGCTGGGAAAAAATGTAGTACCCCTGCATCTGAGGCCAAAGCACAAGAGAAAGCTGGGAAAAAACGTATTGCACCAACCCCTGACACTGCCTCCAAGACTCAACTGCAACATCAGCGAGCAAAAAAATGCCGTCGGACAGCTAAATCAACCGCAGCAGCCTCAATGGCTCCTGTAGGAACTGCTTATCCCATCCACTCAGCACAGCCTCCTCCTCAAATCCCGACATGCTTTTCTTCAGAACAAGCTACACTTTATTTAGGGCCACCTGCTGAATACTGTAGCCCAGCCTGCCCAGGGGTATCCACTCCAAATACCTCGAGTATGAGCCATTTAAGTTGGCAGTATGGATTCGATGCCCCTGCTAACAGGGGCTCCATGCCACTTGGTTCGGCTGGTTACCACTTGGCACAGCCTCCTTCTCAAGTCCCGACATGCTGCACTTCAGAACAAGCTGCACCTTATCTAGGGCCACCTGCTAAATACTGTAGCCCAGGGGTATCCACTCCAAATACCTCAAGTGTGAGCCATTTAAATTGGCAGGATGGGTTGGATGCTCCTTTTAACGGGGGCTCCATGCTACTTGGTTCAGCTGGTTACCACTTTGGCTCTGCTTCATCATTTGGGGCCCCAAGTACGCATCAGTTGTATCATCCATGGCACTATCCCCAACCATCATGAACCCGGTCACCTCGGAGACGACACACCAATGGAATGTCTTAAACTCTCCAAAAAGGAGGAATGACCAAATCACAGAGATTGACAGCCTTCCAAGATTTGGCCATCTAAAATTTAGCCTAGGAAGCACTTCAATGACAGGAAGATGGATGCATTCAGGTAGCAAGCGTGACAGTGTCTATGGTATGATACCTGAATGCATCCATCTTCCTGTCATTGAAGTGATTCCTAGGCTAAATCTTGGAGGGTTATCAATCTCTGTGATTTGGTCATTCCTCCTTTTTTGGAGAGTTTAAGACATTCCCATTGTGACCAATCATATTGTACAGATTATTATTATTATTTTTATATATTTTTGTACAGTGTTGGTGATTACCCTGTAAAGAGGTTTTTTTTGGATGTTTTCCAAAAAGGTGTAAAAGATGCCTTTCTATATGACGACATTGTTGTTGCTGCTTAAAGGTTGAATTTATCACGTGAGCTTTGTTCATATGGTTTATGCTTATTATTCAAAATCACCGGTATGAAAAGAGTGACAGCTCTATGTATATTCTTGTAACACCTCTCGTGTTTTAGATTTAGGTCCATGGTCGTAGTTCTGTGGATTCTTTTTCAGGCTTGTGGAGGCATTTTGGATTCATTATACAACATTTCTCCTTATACATACATATATATAGACATTATTTATTTATTTATTTATTATTATTATTATTTACTTGGCTAGAAACATTTTTTTCCATTGACATGGTGTCGGGCCCTTGACATGATTAGATTGGGCCCTTTCAAACATCTCAGAATTTGGCAAATGTAGACATCACATCATACATGATAAAGGATTTTAAATTCCAACCTTTGAAAGGTGAGAGTCTCTCTCATTGGACTATTTCCTTGAACCCCAATTTTCTATTTAAAAGGTGAAAAAGTGAAACTAGTCTCCAAATTTTAGTGATTTATAATGATAATATCGTGGTTTTGGAACAGAAATGAAATCATTACTCAATGTATCATTTCTGTTAGAGACTATTGCAACGATAGCAAGAATTCCAATGGAGCTTGTAATATAAGAGTAGAATGGTATATGTTTATGATTATTTGTTTAGTTTACTTAGCAATCTTAATTTACAGGGTATGAAAGACTATACTCTTGTGATACTTTTTCACTATATAAAATAAAATAAGAGGTTGAGGATTCAAGTTCTCGTAGGAACAATATAAGGGTGTGAATCTTTTTGCCAAAAAAAAAAAAAGTCAATGAGAGTATGATTGATCCTAGTTAACGTAACCAATTATACTCGTTTTTTATTTTTATTTTTTTCGTTTTTGATGGTAAATCTGGAAAGAGGAAAAAATGGAATCTTTTATAAAGAAACGTCATTTTGGAAGAGAGGAGTGAAACAATCACAATTTTTCAGTTTCTCTTTATTTTTTATATGTTATTCATATTTTATTTCTGTCTACTAAATTATGGATGATAGGATTTGAATCTTGAAATTGGCACATTATTAATTATTTTAATGTGTACATCTTCCCAAAATAATAATAATAATAATAATTAAAAAATAATAATTCTAACAGTTTGGGCCGTCTGGCAATTGCAGCCGAAGTCCCAGTAGCAAAGGCCTGTAATCTTCGATTTTGTAAATTTGGATTGGGTTGGCTTGTAGTACATGGGCCACAGATAAATAGGCCCACCTTTGGTTTTACGATGTAGTTAAGGTTACGTGTGCTACAGTGAAAAAATAATAATAATAACATTAGCTGCAAGAGAATTGAAAAAAAAAAATAAAAAATGAAAGAATAGTATAAATATCATGTCTGGTTTATAAAGACAAAAATAATAATAGTAGATATATTGGGAGAATGAAAGAAAATAAACTATTTTAATATATTTACAAACATACTTTTTTAATTTAAAAGACAAATTTAAGAAGACAAGACACATATAAATCATAGAAATACTATAAAAATAAAAAATATTAATAAAAGGTCGGAAAAAACTAATTGGGTTTAGTGTACTTTGGATATGTAAACGCTTAATGTTAGCCCCTTGACGGTTGTCCAAGGGAAGACATGGGCATTTCAAGGCCATGCCATGTTTTGGGAATACTTTGGCTTTGGTTAGACAACCATAAGGATTGCTCAGGGGGTTGTCAACGTGCACAAGATGCTCAGCGTGCACACAAGATGCTTAAAAGGATGCTCGGCGTGCACTGGGGGTGCCCAGTGGCACTTTCGTAAATATGGCGAAAAGTGAAACTTGAAGTTTTGATTCGGGATCTTTATGGGAGGTACTTTGAGTCCATAGAAGCTGGTTGGCGCAGACGGCACTTAATTTGGATGTCGGGAAAGGCCTAAACGGCCATTATGACTCCTCAAGCATGAGTGATGTTTACTCCTGTTAGAGTGCTGGATTTCCTTAAGACTATATTAGGGGGGGTCTGTTGAGCACATCGGTTGGGCTATGGCATGGCTTGCTTAGAGGGCTTAGCCAACGTGCATGGGCACGTGTTGCACCACTCCAAGATGGTTGCACAAGTGAGGAGCATCCAAGATATTGAAGGGCAAACAAGTGGGCACCGACACGCGCGCTGGTGTGCAGCGGCGCGCGTGCGGGCGTGCAGGTGGGCGCGCGGGCTGGCGTCCAACCTAGTGTGCGCGAGCATCTAGCTCGGCGTGCGCATGGGCGTCCAGGTGGGTGTACAGCCACGGGCGCATGAGGGTTCAAACATGGCGCGCGAAGAAGGGCACTAGTGTGTGCGCCGGCGTGCACTTTGGTGTGCACCCGAGCGTGCGCACAGGCGTGTATGGCTTGGCACGCCGTGCACTCAGAGACATATATATATGGGTGCAGATTGATGGACTTGGCTTGGGCTAGGTTCACAAGGTTGACTCAGATGTGGCTAGAGCATGGACAACACAAAGTCATGGCTTGCGGTTATAAGAGGTGGTGGCTTAGTGGGCTCGGTCGGTTGGGGGAAGTTACTAGCACTTTCCACTCATCATGGGAAGTGGGGGAGTGCTGAGTAACCTCCCAAGCATGTGGCACAATTCTGAGAGGACCAACACACAGGCGGTTAAGGGTGGTTTCTTCCACTATGCAGAATGTAACTTCTTGTGGTTATGTGGCATGAGCAGAACATGTCACCAAGTCTAGTAGTTGGGCTTGTCAACTGCATTATAGTGCTAGCACATTTAGAGGGTGCTAGCACGACCCTAGGTGGATGAGAGTGTCATCCATCATCTTAGTGGGCAGTTATAGGCGGTTTTGAGAGTGGCCTATATAATGCTAAGGTGGGCTTTGTAGAGGGGACAGAGAGGAGGGTGTGAGCCTTGGTTGTTCCTTGTACGAACTCATGTTCCTTTGTAATATGTTTAATATGAGCAAAGGTTGGGGCTTGTCCCTGTAAACCGTGTGTGCCTTCTTTACATTTCTATATTGTGTGTATTGTGTTGTTGTGTTGGCTGAAACTTGGTGGCCCTAAGTGCCATTACAGAGGCAAAAAATTCGTGGTGTAATTAAGCCCTGTAACAATTAATATGATGCAAAATATAATAATAATAATAATAATAATAATCAAGAAATTATGGTGAAGCATCTCATAGCATAGGCCATGTAATACTAAAAAAATATGGATAGTTACTTCGAGGAAGCCTACTTTCCTTGTAATAATAAAAAAATATTGCTAAAATCATAAAATTCTCCTTCTTATTTTCAAAAACGTCATATAATCCCTTTAATTATCAAACACTCCTTGTAATAATTATAAAAAATAATACCCTTGATAGTATATTAATATTTTATTAAATTAAAATTATAGTGTGAAAAAGATAATTTCGTCGTTACGAATCCGTAAAATGAAGTAACTGTTGTACGTGATTGTCACCTGATACGATCTGGTTTATTTTAGACGGGAAACTAACGGAGAGGGGATGATACGATAGATTTTTTAATAGATCAAGGGATAATATGATGGTTTCTTTAATTAAGAGGTTTAGTTAATAATTTTTGAAAATAAGAGAGGACTTTTATAATTTTAGCCCTAAAAAATATGGATAATTAGACAAACAATCGTAGGGCCATGTCTTCAACTATTTTCTCTCCAAGGAATCACTAAATAAATGGAGCTGTAATGATTCTACGACCTAATAAAACCAGTAGTTCATGAGTTGAAAAGAGAATTTGATTTACTGAAAAAAAAATATATTGGAAAAAAAAATATTGACTGTTGAAACAAAATAGAATGAAAAACATTTTATCCTTTTTACGCCTTTGTTTCCGTCCTTCATCAAAGTTGATTTGGATGGGTTGTTAAGTAAAGAAAACAAATGCTAGGACTCGTGTCATTTAAATTTTGTGTTTTACGGATTTGATATTAATAAAGTTTTATTAAAAATATTAATTTTTTCTTCTGTTACCTTCCAGATAATAAAATCAAATCATTAAATTTTAATGTATTCCTTCAAATGCATCCATTCCCTTTATTTTACTTTCAAAATTTTGTACCAATATAAAAAATCATATCCCTCCATTTTCTTCTTTTCTTTTCCTCCTATTTCTTTCGAACCAAACTAGGTCCAATATCTTAGGACGGTTGAAAACTTGAATTGCGTCATAAATTATCGCATTCTTCTTTTCCTAATATATATGCCTTTGGTTGTGTATTAGAAGTTTCAATAGATTTACTTTCAAAACATAAGAATAATAATATATGTCTTTAGATATGTAAACTTGTGTTTTTTTTTTTTTTTGGTAGGCTTTTGCTTTGTAAAAATGGAATCTTTTGGTTGATTAAAATTTTTGTGATTCCTGCTAATCCATAATGTGCCCACCCTTTGATGTTGATATATATATATATTCTTTTGGTCAATTAATTCAATTCTTTTTAAATAGAGTTAAATGTAAAAAACCTCCCTCATAATAAGTTCATAACATAAAAATATGCAATTAACCCTTGTTTATAAAACTCTTCATATTTTTTTTAAAATTTTTTTTTTTGCAAATAAGGACAAATTAAAAAGATCTAATGGTTTTATTATATATATATATATATATATATATATATATATATATATCAAATTAAGTTATGGAATATATATAATGGTTTCATTATATATATACATTGTAATGATTATATATGGTTTCATATAATGGTTTCATTATATATATACATTGTAATGATTATATATGGTTTCATTATATATATATATATATATATATATATATATATATAATGGTTTTATTATATATATACATTGTGATGATTCCATGAAATCATTACAGCTACATTTATTTAGTGTTTCCTTGGAGAGAAAATACTCATGAACACCAATGGTTTTATTAGGTCATGGAATCATTACAGCTACATTAATTATAATGACTATATTACCCTCCAATGGTCTTGTTTGGTCAGGACTTATAGACTACCAGATAAAATAAATAAATAAATAAAAGCAACACTGCACAGATACTTTCCCCCTCTCTATTATTTCTTTTTCTAAAACTTCCTCATCTTTAGGATCTCCTCATCACTCACCTTCTCACCACCATATCTGTTCACCTCATCGCCATGTAAACTGTGATACCCCCTAATTTCGAAATACGAGTTAATCAAGTTCGCGCACAAAACCAGAAGATATCAAAACAAATTAATCATTAAAGTATTTCAAATAAGCACAGATTACAAAATGAAATAAAAGAATAAATAATACATTGAAGAAAACTAATATATAATAATTTCATTAATTAATAATCTTCTATCAGTTACAACTCGGG